CCTCCTCCCTTCCTCTTCCCTCCCCTCCCCTCCCCTCTCTCCATTTTAACTGTAATGACTCATAACCGAACCCCCGGTGGGTTTATGGAGACTCTAAAGCCATCTCCTGGTGGATTAGAACTATCAGACTTTGGGTTGGCAGCAGCACTCCCTGCCACTAAAGTCACCAGAACTCCCTAGTGCATATGGTCTTACATGTTTATGTTTCTATGCATATAAGACACTTAAGAACCTTTTTTAAAAATGTGGTAGAATAATTTAAACAGAACATAGTACAAAATAATAATAAGACAGTAATAAAAGTAACTACTTATAGAAATGTTTAAAAAAGACAGTGTATGTGTCCAGGTATACACATTACTTTAAAAATAGTAAAGAAATAATTCTTAAACACTTCAGAAAAACCATTTGAAGCATTTACATTGAAAACTGTTGCGACATCTTGCCTTTAACGTTAAGTAAAATTATCCTCACTTTAAAACAGGGCTTCAAATCAGTTTGGAAATATTCAGTTTTGGCAAATTCAATCAAGGGCAGCAAATGCACTGCCTGGCAACCCAACTGGCTTTTGACCAAAATACAAATAAAGACCGAGCATAATAAAAAATGGCATAGTCGATAGTCATGTTTGAGTGGAGCACCACTTCCTGTTTCCTACTCAGGGTAAACTCTAAAATGCAAGAAATTTCATTGCTATGTAACAAGTGCCCAACTCTTATTTTTGTCAGCCATGACTGAACCATTCTGGTGCAATAGTAAATATATTAACATACCTAAAGAAATTACATGTATTATTTACAGTATTTCCTCACAGAAGACTAACCTATAGTTTTTAAATCTTCAATAGTAATCAACAGTATTACTTGCTCTACAATTCTGAAATATATGTTTAAATAATTTATTATTGCTTCAGGCAACATTGCTCATTTTCTTTTATTAGGTAAGCTAAAAGACATATATATATTCTACTCGATAATAAAAGGGGGGGAAATCCACAAAATTGTAAGTGTTCTTAAATAAGCAATATTCATAGAAAGAAATGGTGCAGAACTCTAATTTTATAAAGAAATATTTTTGTAATGCAATATACCTTATAAAGAAATAATTTTGTAATACTATATATTTAATTTAGGAATAAAATTTCTTTAGAAAAATAAACTTTTAATGAACAACAACAACTAACACTAAGTGTAGTTTTTTAAAACTCTTGCTCCAATCCCCAAGTATCTCAGGGCCAGTAATTTCTTACCTCAACAAACTCTTTCTTTAAAATACTTTTTAATTTTTTATTAATTTTAATAAACAGAGATTTTGGATTTCCATTCATTCATTGCTGCACTTTTTTCCCTGCCGACCCCTCCCCACCAGTTTGTTCCTTTCTTTGAAAAGAAAAAGAAAAGAAAATTCCTTCATTGGTATACAATTCCCCCATTCCCCCCGCACCGAGTACACTTTTCTATGCAACCTTAATTCTGGACTCCTGTGTTAACCATAATAATCATACATCGCCTCTAATCTCTTACCTTAACAAACTCTTACAGACTATCCATCATCCAGCTGGCTCTGTGGTAAGATATTTGCCACAGGGCACTATAAGTTCAACTGTTTGCTATTTATTGAATACCTAGTATGTGTCGGGCACTGTTCCAAGCTTTTTAAACTAATCATTCATTTCATTTCTAATTAACTTGTTGGGTAACTCTTCCCAATTCACAGAGCTGGGAAAAAGAATTTTTAAAAGCCAGGGTTTGTATTCCATGTAGTTTCACGCCAGAAACTATAAACACCATTCTCTGCTGTCTCTCTAACACCCATCTGTCAGTTCGTCATGCTGTGATGCTGAACATGTTGTTCTGAAACTGGAAGCAATCCAAGCAGACTGCATGATGGATATTAGTGGTTCTTTGTATCATCTTCTCCACTTTTGAGTATATTTTAAACTATCAGAGTAAAAAAGGCTAAAATATGCCAAGGAGCCCTAATGGCATAGTAATTAAAAGAGATTAGCTACCAATTGAAAAGTTGATGGTTTGAACTCCACCAGTTGCTCCACAGGAATAAGACGTGACAGTTGGTTTTCATAAAGATAACAGCTTTGGAAGATCTATGAGAAAGTTCTACTTCATTCTATAGCTCTCTAGAAGGAGCTGTAATTGATTGTAAAGCAGGATTATATGGTTTTTTTTTAAATTTTTATTTAATGCCAGGCATTGTTCTAGGTTTAGAGAACCAAATTTTGGAATGTCGCAGCTTATAAAAAGGAGCTCTGTCCCATAAGGACAAATACGGTATAAAAACATTATTGTGGAAATAAATAACTAGTAAAAAGTGTATGAAGATCTAAGGGGGGAAGGGGAGGAGCAGAGGAGTAAGGATGGAGGAGATAATCATAGGGCCTCACAATTTGATGAGTTAAGGAAATGGGAAAGACCCAGTGTGAAAAACAATGTATACAAACTTTGTAAATAAACTGTATAAAATACAAAGTGTATATTAAATAATAATAATAATAATAATAAAGGAGCCCTGAGGTGTAGTGGTTACATTTGGGCTGCTAAAACAAAGGTTAGCAGTTTGAATACATCAGCTGTTCTTTGGGGAAAAAGATGGGCACTCCCTACTTACAGTCAAACTCAATGGAGGGTTACTATGGGTCAGAATTAACTTGATGGCAGTTTTGAAAGCTCAAAAAATGGATTAAAATGAGTTTGGTTTGGGTAAGCTTATACACTTTGGAAGGAGGGGCTCAACAGAAAAAAATTGGGTACAAAAGTAGATGTTTCTTTAAAATGAAGAAAAATCATAATAAATCACAAAATTTAAAAAAAAAGTAAAAAATATCACCACTTGACAAAATCCAGAAAAGTCATGTTTTCTAAGTCAATTATCTTCCTGAACCCATTTTGATTTCCTCACTACTTGCTTCCATCTTCTAATAGTAATAATAATATATAATAGCCCATTATAGTAATAACATATTCCATGGAACTAATAAAAAATTAACTCAATCAGTCTAACGGAAATATATCTTTTATTATTGAGAGGAGAACTCTTCTTTGCTCTTCAAATTAATTATTGGTAACATCACCCAAAATTCCTTTCAGTTTGGAGAAACTTTAATCAAGCTCCTTTCAAGTTACAGTGGTGAGATTTCAGGGTATTTCAAATTTTGCTGTGCAGTGACTAATTTGACAGCAGCCCTTTGCTAATTTGTCATCTATGTCTTCACTAGAGTGACATTTATGGGTTTTATGTTTCTTCATTGATATAAATTATTTTCCATCAAATCCAGCATGAAACCTACTAATCTTACCCCAATGTTTTTATATGAGTCATTCCTTTTCATTAATTGGATTATTTCTTTCTTCTTAAAAAATATTGCCTTTAGAATGATGTGGGGTTTTTTTTTATGGCAATTCCTCAGTGCCAGAAAAGAGTCTTTTATTTTTATTTCTTTTCACCTGTACTGATTTTTTAAAACACCACATGAGACTCATAGCGACCCTATGCACAATAGCCCTAAACTCTGCTCTGTCCTGTGCCAATTGCACTGTCTCTGACACTCCCATCCCGATTATCCCAGTCACTGAATCAACCTTCCCAAGTTGTAGTTGAAATATCATCCTTTGTGTAAAGGTATCTCTATAAATTACTTACAGATGCATATGAACCTGTAATCATTTCAAAATGAAAATATAACTAAAATGTCAGGATCCAGCTCTATCAAGTCCTTGGGTTGTTTTTAAGAGTCTTGTTTGTGTCCAAGATTTCTCCAATCTTTGAAAATATGTTTTTGAGAAGTGAACATATTTTTGTTACATATGTCAAGGCACAGATAGCTTGACAATGGGTAGACTCTTTTCTAAATCTATAAAGGAATTAATATGAGAGTTTATAATATCCCATCTACAAATGAAATTGAGAGTATCTCACCTACAAAGGAAATTGAGAAGAAATCATACAACTTTTGCAAACTTCCTAAGTGATATGTAGTAACTTCAGGAGTGTGGAAGAAGCTATGACTTCTATGAGATTTAATTGGTTCTTGAACGGACGTATTATTCTCATCTTTTAAATCAGTTACATTATGAAAATACTGCCTAGCAATATGCTCAGTCCCAACTTAGAGACTAATCAAGGAT